AACTGGACTCAAAATACCAAAAAGCACATTTCATTTTCCGTCACATATTTTCAGAAATAATTTCACTTACTTTTAAAATTATGAACAAAATTTAAAACTAAATGTTTTTTTTTACTGTGTCTCACTCCAGATGATGCCAAAATAGACATCACACTCAAAATATGACACAAGACTATCAAAGACGCTTGATGCAGTTAACCTGAGGTGACCCCCCGGCCGGGGAGTACAGATACATGTAACTGGACCAGCTGCACGTGGTTTGCACGAGTAAGAACGAACCGCTCGAGGTGGTACCTGTGAGGCCTACAGTTCGGACGAGAGACGTAATACTACTGATATCGCAAGCTGGCCGAAAATAATGAACGAAGTCAGACGAATAAAATGTAATATTAAATATGAGAGATTTTGCTAATGTCCACCCAATACACGACCCAAGAGCCACTCAAGGTAGAGTGTTACTGCGTGCATTTATATCAACGTAGGAAAGAGCAAGCGTTAGGACTACAGAACTGAAGCAGACTTTAGAAAAGACCGGAAACCCAATCCTAGACAGGAAATAAGATATATCCACTACTCCTGTTCAAAAGACCGGGGAGGAATTTCAGGAGGATAGAAAACTTTATTCAATCTACAGGGATAGATTATTGTTCTTTCCTTGACACTGTCTCTGAATATTTTTGTTCTTACTCTATTTATTTTCTTAAGTTATACTACGTCCTGTTTTATTTAGTCTGTGCCTTGAGTAACCGACTCAAGGATTGAGAGCTAGCTCATATATCTGGGAACATACTAATCGGGAATTCAATCCTTGGACAGAGGGCAATACAGACTCGGAGCCAGCGGCCTAAATGGCGAGCAATAGCTGATCAGCATTCTGACGAGCTACTTTCACTGGTACCCCAACAGCATGAATTTGAGCGTGCTACTAGGTTGGCATCTCGGTCCCGCCCTTTCACTGTCGAAGCATTTAAATGTAACCACCTCTTCTACTCCAGCGGCTTCTTTTGCACTTCCCGACAGTGGAACTCCCTTCCTCTTACTTGCTTCCCTGATAGCTATAATCTTCAAATCTTCTGATACCTTGATCCTGATCCCCGTCTTTGTTTATATCCTTTCCTCAAACACCCCTCTTTAGTCTTGATCTCACTCTCTGTAATTCTTTGCGTGCTAGAGGCACCCCCGACTTGCTTGGGATAGAATGCTTAAAAAATAAATTATATACTTAGGTATGGATTGCAGCCTGAGAACAGCCAACTTTCAAGAGTTAAAGTCATCTTAGTTTAGATTCCAAGTTATGTTGGTATACCAGGCAATGAAATAACAGACAAACTACCTACAGTTGCCATCAACATGACAACAACGTGCATAAAGATACCCTATATAGACTTCAGAAATAAATTAACGGAACATATAAAAAGAAAATGGTAAGCACTATTGGATTCAATATCTAAGAAACTACACATTATTCAACCAACTATAGGAGAATGGCTCCGAGGTTTCATAAAAATAAGACGAGAGGAAATAGTTTTATCCAAACACCAAATAGAACATACACATCCTAAACACATGAACTAAAAAATAAACTCCAGTATCGCGCAAAAGATTCCCCGAACCTCTAACAGTTGAACATTTCTATCATCTCAGCTTAAGAACATATTATGAAGCAAACAATACGAAATAATTAAATAATTCTTTAAAATCACTAAACCAATCAATATCCTTAACTTCTTAAAGGAAATCAAAATTTATGCCAAAATATAAAACTATAAATAAAATTTCCAACAAAATCACATAAAACCTTTAATATAATTTTGAAAAAATTAAGAACCCTTCAGACTTCAGATCCCTGCTAAAAATATTTCGCAAATTCTAATAACGAATTTCTATCAGAAACTGAATACAAAATAACATTAGAAACCGGAATCTCTAATAATTGATTAAAAAGAAAAATTCTTTTTCTAACCTTTACACCAAACTCTCACTGATCTGCATATATCAAGTTATACCTAAATCAATCACGATACAAAACATTTATCTAGCCTTAAATAACCCTATAGTGGTTGAAAGACCGTTAAGCAGGAACTAAACCAAATAAAGTGGCTGATTCAGTCGAGAAAAACTTGAAAAAAAAAACTAGATGTGGAAACAGCGGCTGAAATATTGGGATATTAACAACAAAGATGATGAAAATTGTACACCTGTAAACAAATTAAAACCCCATAATACCTGATCCCAGAAATTAAGCCAAAAAGGACACACGTCCTAAAAGAACGATAATATTTCATTTCAGAATGATGCGTCCTATATTATATAGAATATAAGTAATGATGACAATAATTTTCTATGTAATGTGTCCCTTCAGGGCGTTACAAATCATGGCTCTCCACAATTTCCTGTCCTTTGTAGCTCTTAATAAATATTGTCTTTTTGTAATCTCTCCTAAACGGTGTTCCGCCATACATTTACTCATGCTCATTCTTCTTCTTCTTCTTCTTCTTCTATGTGGCCTGTCCATTCAGAATGTTGGTGATCATGGCTCTCCACAATTTCCTGTCCTTTGTAGCTCTTAATAAGGACACATGGCACAGTGGATAAGTCGTTAGTTAGATCCAGTGACAAGACCCAAAGAGTGCGAGTTCAATACCCGGTTAAGACAGTGGAGAACTTGGAGAGAGGAATTAAAAGGAGATAACTGGCATCTGACATCCATAAAACATGGCACGTGAAACTAGAACTGTCTAATCCATTGAGCGAAATAAAGGGTTTAGTTCGACATTCCAACCACCTGAACAAGGCCGGAGCGTACAACGTTGTAATAAATATGGCGACAAAGTTGAGGACAATAGTGCGAATAATGTAAATAGTGCACAAAATACCTCATCTCAGAAATATAGACAGGTACTGAATTGCCGAAACGTTGTAATAAATATGGCGACAAAGATGAGGACAATAGTCCGAATAATGTAAATAGTCCACATAATGCCTCATCTCAGAAATATAGACAAATACTGAAAGGCCAAAACGTTGTAATAAATATGGCGACAAAATGAAGACAATAATCTGAATAATGTAAATAGTGCACATAATATCTCATCTCAGAAATATAGACAGATACTGAAGGGCCGAAACGTTGTAATAAATATGGCAACAAAGATGAGAACAATAGTCCGAATAATGTAAATAGTGTACATAATACCTCATCTCAGAAATATAGATAGATACACTAACGATATTTTCCTATTTCCTAATACTTTCGTTAGGTTTTGGAAAGCATTTTTCGCTATTCCATTGCACCTTTACACTTCGCTCCTCAAATAAAACACGTCCCAGTTATTTAAAATTTTGCCCTTGTTTTATTTTAATAACTCCAATTTGTAATGTACGTGTTAAGGTATTATTTGTTTTGACAACTATGCATTTTATCTTCTTGCAATTGATGTAAAATCCTTTGTTTTCGCTTCTCTTGTCTACATTCACTAGGAGTTTTTGTAGTTTCATTTCTGTGTCTGCTATCAATACTATGTCATCTGCATATTTTTTTAAGCATTTCACCCCAAGCAAAGCGGGAGTGCCACTAGCATGCAAGAGGTTACAGAGAGTGCGAGCAAGAGTAAAGAGAGGTGTTTGAAGAAAGGATAAAGAGAAGGTCGACGATCAGAATCAAGGCAATTGATATTACATTTGAATATTTGAACATTATAGCCATCAGGGAAGCAAATAAGAGGAAGGAAGTTCCACTGTCGGGAAGTGCGAGAGGAGAAGCTGTTGGAGTAGAAGAGGCGGTTAAATTTAATCGTTTCGACAATAAAAGGGTGGGACCGAAATGCCAAAGTAGTAGCACGTTTAAATTCATGAGGTTGGGGTACCAGTGAAAGTAGCTCGTCAGAGCAGTTGCCATGAAAATATTTGTAGATTCTTATTCTTAACATTCGTCGGCATAATTACAACTGTGAAGACATTTTCGCTGCCATATTGGAGATCAAACATTACGTAGCAGTCCAGTATTGGCTTTTTTTTGGTTTTGTTTCTAAGGACATCTTTTTCTCAAGATTACGGAAATAATAGATTAAATCTACAACAGTGGGGATATACCGGAAGACCTAAATCTTCATAAAACCGCCTAAGAAGCCAGATGCAAACGAATGGGAACTCTATCGTACAATCACCCTCATGAGCCAAAATTCTCTAAACTTTGCGCCTTCGTTAAAACTTCCTCGTTTTTTGATTTTTTTTTTGTTTTGTTTTTTGTTTTGTTTTCGTTTTTTTTTGTTTTTTTTCACCCCAAGCAAGGCGGGAGTGCTATTAGCATGCAAGGGGTTACAGGGAGTGAGAGCAAGATTAAAGAGAGTTTTTTTCATGAAAGGATAAAAGAAAAGGACGTGGATCAAGGTTAAATCATCATCAGATGTCGATTGACACTACATTTTAATATTTGAAACTTATCGCTATCAGGGAAGCAAGTAAGAGGAAGGGAGTTCCACTGTCGGGAAGTGCGAGATAAAAAGCTGTTGGAGTAGAAGAGGCGGTTACATTTAATTGTTTCGACAGTGAAAGAGTGGGACCGAGACGCCAACCAAGTACAATGCTTTATTTTATGCTCATAAGATTGTGGCAGTCATTCATGAATTCTGGTTGGACTTGTGATGCTCTCAGGATCGCCTCAGTGTATAGGTTGAATGAGTACGGTGGGAAGACACATTCTTGTCTTAAAGTCCATTTTGTTTAAAAAGACAGAACAGCAGTAAACATTATTCACCAGATTTCAGAAAGGTGGGAGATTGTGCATATAAGTGACATGGAAATTCTCATCTGCGTGCCGCATGAAATAAAGTATTATATCTCATTTTTTTTTTTTTTTTTTAGTTTACCTGCAAACTTCATAGGAGTGTCCAAAATATTACGAAAACTACGGGAAACAAATGTAGTGAAATGAAAATTGCCAAAGAAATGGAAATCACCGTAGGGAGAAAACCAAGAGAAGCTGGATGCCGAGAGAAAGTCTAGACGAGAGAGCCGAGGGAAGAGAGACATGGAGAGAACCACGCAAATAAATCCGACCGGGAAATGCCTAGAATAGAGCTAACGAGAGAGAACCGTGGAGAAAAAAACGAGATAAGAGAGAGGAAGTCTAGTAACAGAGCCGAAGGAAGAGAGACGTGAGGAGAAAGCATAGGAAGAGAGACGAAAGGAAGAGAGCCAAAGGGAAAGAGACAACAGGAAAAAGACTACGAAAGAGAGCCGAAATGGAAAAGTTAAGGGAAGAGAGTCGAGGAGAGATCACCTAAAAGATTGGCTCTCCAACTTTTTGAGGTCAGGGCGCAAGTCCGACCAATAATTGTATGCATACTACAGTGTAACCCGGATATAAGAGAGTTGTCGGGACCGGAGAAGAAGTCTCTTATATCCGAGTTTCTCTTATATCCGGGTCTCTTATATCCGGGTTACACTGTATATACAAATTTGGGGAAAATATGTATTAATGGAGCCAAATATTGCAGAAAAAATAATGCAATAAAAAAACATAAAATGAAACATACCTAAAGTTTATTCATTCTTATGTTTATGAGAAACATGAGCCTGATGAGTCTTAGCATATATTTGATAGGCAAACTCCCATCTCCTCCTCAATACATTGAAGAGTTCCTCTCTTTTTGAACTTAATTGTGGTAAGAACAGAAAAGCCTAATTCACGTTGATATGATGTTGCAAAATGCACAAAAAAATGTTCAGATCTTTTTTAGATATTGATATACATTCTTTTATAGAAGTCACAAAAAGCTTCAAGAGACATTTCATTATGTTTAATCAACCCACGATCAGTGAATATGATAAAGTAACTAATTTATCCCATTTGCTTTGAAACAAATAAGTGATAAATTATAAATGATAAATTACTATGAAAGTATAAATAAGACAACTTTTAAATAAACAGGCCTAATCCTCATCATTGTTTTATGTTACATAATACATCTTTTAGTAATCAACTTTCTCGAAGTAGGTATGAAGAACTGACCAGCAACTCCTACCAGTTCAATACAACAAAGCAAAAGCTTCCTATCATTGAAGCTTTCCTCGAGGTCTATAGGTAACGGGACAGGTACCTCTATATAATAAAGTACATATATTTATTTCTTATATATGGACACAATGCAATTAAAAAATATAAAATGAAACATACCTAAAGTTTATTCATTCTTGTGTTTAAGAGAAACATTATCCTGATGAGTTTTAGCGATTTCTTTAATATATGGACACATATTTCACTGGAATGCCAAGGAGCAGCTAATCATCTTCTAGAGCTCACCTTTGCACCCAGGTGCGCGATTTGAGTACCACTGGCCTAGAATGTTGATGAGAGAGAGAGAAGAGAATCATTGGGAGAGAACCAAGAACTGTGAGAAAAACTAGGTGCCAGTCTCAAGAAGAGAGCCATGTGAGAAGAACCAAAGGAGGAGAGACATATGAAGAGAATCGATCAAAGAGAGCAGTGTTGCGAAATCCTTTTGAGAAGAGAGTAGAAGTAAGAGATTTGAATGGAGAGAACCAACGGAAAACAGCCTGGGAGAAAGAGTCAATAGGAACGGAGTCGGGAGAATAAAGCCAACGAAAAAGAAATGAAGGAAGAGCGTCAAGTGGAGAATTCTGGGTAAGAAAGCCTAGGGAATATAACCTACGAAAGAGAACCGAAAGAAGTGTCTAGAGAAAGGTGCCAAAAGACGCAGAGAGGGGGGTGCAATCTCTAGAGCGAAAAGTGAAGGAAATAAGCCGAAAAGAACTGTGGAAAAAGAGTCAAACGAAGACAGCCGAGATGAGAGCGCCTGCGGAAGAAATCCAAGAAGAGAGAGTCGAAGAAAAAAAGTGCCAAGAAAGAGCATCGAAGGAAGATATCCGAGAGGAGTGCACCAAGAGAAAAGAGCCAAAGACAAATGCCTTAGAGAGAAAGGCAATCTAAGAAAGCTGAGGAGAGTGAGCCGAGTGCAGTCAGCTCAGGGAAGAGAGCCGTGTAGAGAGCCTGTGAAAGGGGGGGGGTGTATGGGACCTTGCCAATAATAACATAATGGACTATTCCATACGTAATAAGTACTGCGCCTCTAGAGGAAGCAGGGAGTTCCGTCTGGAGTCGGGCGACCGGCTGACCGGCTAATCGGTTGAACTCTTTGCCTTCAGGCGGGGAGGAAACCGAACGAGGCTACGGGGAGGTAAACCGACCCTGAACCCGTTTATACGGGTTCAAAGGGCATATTTTTGGCCGAGCCCACGGGCTCGGAGATCCCACGTTAAACCGGCATTGTGTCACATGATTCCCTCGTGGTGGGGGTGACTAGATATCGTTCTGTCTGAAGTCTGAGAGTTCTGTCTGAAGTCTGGAGTGAGGTCCGTCAGAAGTCCGTCAGTCAGTCAGAGCGAGCGAGTCAGTCAGTCGAGTCAGAGGCAGTCCGAAACAGAGTCGCGTTCAGACAATTACTACTAAACGTGATTGTTCGTACGAACCCTTTCTTCTTCTCTGTATATATTCCTGTTTGTAATATATCTGTGTTGTTCCATATACGTGTTCGAGTTCTTCTTTGTTGGTTCTACCTTGGACTATCACCGTGGTACAAGGAACCGGACCATAACAGGGGCCGATGTATAAAAAGCCTACGAGTGAAAGGCAAGGGAAGAATGCCAAGATAAGTGATCCGTGGTGAGAGAATCTAAGGATGAGAACTGAGAGAAGAGAAAAGAGTAGAAGAAAGCGGAGACTAGTGTCCCCAGGGGAGAGATGCAAGAGATGAGGAAAGAGAACTAAGGACGGGGGCCCAAGAAAGAAACCCGACAGTCGAGAGCCGATTGGAAAATCCTAAGAACGAAAGGCGAGGGAAGAAAGCCGGTGGGAGTGAGTTGAGTGCAGATAGCCCAGGGAAGACAGCCACAGGAAGAGAAACCAGTGGAGAAAGCACAAGTGTGAAGAAAACAAAGACAAGAGAGTCTTGGAGAAAGAGACTAGGGAATAGTGTCGAGAGAAAGAAATTAGCTGGAAGACAGAGACTGAATGAATATCAAAAAAGGTAATAAAACCAAGCCATAAAAGGAAACAAGAGGAACACTTCGACGTGGTGTAAAGGTTAACAAGCTTGTCTCATTAAATCAATTACGACGTAGTGAGTTAGAATTTCATATTTCCGGCCTTGTGCCACATCTAAGCTACGCTTATTAAATCATTGGACAGTTTAGCAATTGTGTCTCACTAGATCAATTGACTGAATAGTGAATTCGATCCTCACTGAGTGCTCTATTCTTTCAGCCTTGTGCCTTATCTATGCTACGCTTAGTGAATCATTCGATAATTCGACGTGGTAAATAGTTAGCAAGCCTGTCTCGCTGAATCATTTACGACTGAGTAGTGAGTTCGAACTCCATATTTCCGGCCTTGTGCCACATCTAAGCTATCCTTATTAAATCATTGGACAGTTTGATGTGGGGTAATTGTTAGCAATTATGTCTCGCTAGATTAATTACGACTGAATAATGAATTCTGTCCTAGCTGGGTGCTCCATATTTTCGGCCTTGTGCCAGATCTAAGCTACGCTTAATAAACCACCATATGAGAGGAAGAGACAAAAAACGGGAAAACTGAAAGAACTTGTACGAACGTTAAGATGAAAGTCATCGTTTTACTGAACAAATAATTATCAATGACAAACACCAGTTGCACAGTGAAGTAGACATCTGCTATCATCGTATTCCTTTACTTATTGCTGTTAGCACCGGGAAACGCATCCGGAGTACTTAACCGCGCGGCTTATTTCTCCTATACATCTTCATTCTAATTTCTCCAGAAATAAAATCTGTTTTCAACAGGTTTTAAATCATTGTCTTGTGGCCCGGAAGCGAACGAATGAAACAGCGGATTCAGAAGCCCGTCCGGATCAGATGGTTTATTTTAACTCGAATTGACTTTTCCCATTTCTTCCATAACACACAAAAGAGAGGCAATTCACTCTCTTATTTACACAGCTGATAGGTTGGAAATCTTAGAATTATATCCACGGAGTTTAGTCTTTAACGACATATATATATATATATATATATATATATATAAAGATTCCGGCAGCTCGATGCAACCATGTTTGCCAGATCTCAATCCGCAAATTTTTCCACCAAAATCAAATTCCCGCGAATGGCCTCGTCAGACTCTCTGTGAATCACTGCCATCTCCGCCTCCGCCACCGCCACCGCAACCAGGGGTGAGGAGGGAATAGGTAGATAAAATGAGATACCGAAGCTTGGATACGAATGAGTGCCGACAACAATATACTTATATACCGGGTGTAACAGCAAAAGTGTCCCAATCGTGTAAAAACAAAATTGTCCAAGTGTTAGATTAAGCTCTGAACTGTTATATGTTAGAAATGACTAAATATGCCTTACGGGAATTCTCTGAGGTTTTTAATAACACTATTGAACTCTATCTGTCTATATTTCTGAGATGAGGTATTATGTACACTATTTACATTATTCGGACTATTGTCTTCATCTTTGTTGTCATATTTATCACAACGTTTCTGCCCTTCAGCATGAGTCTATATTTCTGAGATGAGGTATTATGTACGCTATTTACATTACACGGACTATTGTCCTCATCTTTGTTGCCATATTTATTACATGGATACATGGCACAGTGGATAAAGGCGTTGGTTAGATCCAGTGACATGACTCAAAGAGTGTGAGTTCAATACCTGGTTAAGGCGGTGGAGAACTTTCAGAGGGAAATTAACAGGAGATAACTGATAACTGGCATCCATTAAACATGACACATGGAACTAGAACAGTCTACCCCAGTGTAAATAAAGGGTTCAGTTTGACATTCCAACCCCCTGAAGAAGGCCGAAGCGTACAACGGTCGAAAAGTTGTAATAAATATGGAGACAAAGTTGACGACAATAGTCCGAATAATGTAAATAGTGTATTGAACTCTTCTATGAGTGATAAAAATGTAAAATCACTCTTTAAAATTAACAGAAGAATCATGATGAAATCGATCATAAACGAAAATGAGATGGTCATCATTAATTAATCATAGCTAAGGATCAGAAGCTCATGAAGTATTAAAATAATGTTCATATATATATATATATATATATATATATATTAGTGGTCAATATATATATATATATATATATATATATATATATATATATATATATGATCGAAATAAAAGTGTAAAATTTAATATTACAAGACATTAAAACAATATTAAATAATAAAAAAAACTCAACAACAAGGGGGGGGAAGCAACCAGTTTCGCTCCCGCTCGTCAGGCTTCACGGGAGATTCAAAATTAAAACAGAAATGTACAATAAGAATAGGTGGAAAAAAATATATACATATATATATTTGTATATATGCAAGAAGGAATTAGAGGCAGATGACAGCGAGTCCCAGCAAACACTCACGTTGTTTGCACAAAGAAGGCTTGCGGGACCCGATGTAAAGCGCCTCCTTAACCTTCAGATGAAATACAGAGTGTGACCGCTGTGCAAACAACGTGATTATTTCGATCATTAAATTTTGTACCTACAAAAATATCTTTAAATATATATATATATACATAAATTCCCAATAGGATAGAATCCAGGTAGAACTCAATGTTCAGGATAGAGTAAGAATAAAATATAAAAGACTCAAGTGTTATTCATCATGACGGTCGTCTTTGAGTATAGAATCGAGAGGTTAGCAGTGAATATTTCGAAGACAGTAGGGAAGCGTAGTTCAGGTTAGCAGTGGATATTTCGATAAAAGTAGCAGAGCGTAGTTCGTCCTTCTGGTTCTCTTCGCCTGACAACCTGGACTGGACATTCGGGTAGAGTGAACAAAAATGGCGGCCTTTATACACGACGGATTGAATGTTCTACGTCTTCTGATTGGTTAACCTTCTATTGGTAGACTATGAAGGGAGTTAAGTCATTTGAGCTAACTCACTAGTTATATATATACACAAAAACTGTAACATCAAGCACTAAGATTCCATGGTTATGATTTATTACATTGGAATTGTAATTACGATCCAATTCATCAGACGTCTCGTAATTACGATTCCAATGTAATAATTTACAACCATGGAATATTAGTGTTTGAGCCTTTCTATATATATATATATATATATATATATATATATATATATATATATATATATATATATTATTCCAGGATCATTTTCCAACTTATTCAAGATAGTCTTCGCCCCTCTACTCTTCTAACTTTGTGTCCTGGAGTAACGACGCGCCGCACACGTTTCACGTACGATTTCATCTCAAGCCTCTCTACACTGCTCTTCGGATTGCCATAGCTGAAAGTCCTCTCTCACGTGCCAAATGTCGTATGGATTGAGTTGAATGACCTTTTTCTTCTCACCATTGCTCAGTTGGAAACACAATTGACTAAACAATTTAACCGGCTCTCTTTTTAGCTGAATAACTCAAACGGTTTTTCAATGATTCTCACCACATATGGTGTCAAGATGGCTAAACGTCTTATCTGAAAACCTGGACAAAAGAAACTCAATTCGTTTAGTCCTTATTTATATATTAAATATACTTTTTGGGAAGGATAATTATGCTGTTACTGGTAAATAAATACATATATATATATATATATATATATATATATATATACATATATATATATATATATATATATACGCTCGTTTCGTGAGTAGATCAAGAAAATCTGTAGATAAATATTATAACGGTTTCCGTATAGGAATTCAAGTTCGTTTCTTGTCAAAGTACACATATTTTCTACGAAATTTCCCGAACATTCACGCCGGTAAATGTAATTAACACTGTTTAAAAAAAAAAACAAAAAAAAAAAAAACAGAGCATTTACTTAAATAAATTGTAGCTATAAAAATGAATTGTATCTATAAATATAAAGTATTAACAGAAATACATATAGATAGATAGATAGATAGATAGATAGATAGATAGATTTGACAAACCAAGCATTCGACTGCCAGATGTGACCAGGTTTGCCAGATATCATCTGTCTCCGTCCCCTTTGAGCCGCGTAGCAGGCGCTTTTTTTCGCCAAGTAGGTGGGCTTGTCCTTTGCGCACAGTTGTCCACCAAAATCAAATTCTCGCCAATAGCCTCGTCAATGTCTCTCTGATTACTTTGCAGTAGTAAGCTGGGATTTCTCAGACATCTCCACAACGGCCATCAGAGGAGAGAACGGAAATAAAGAGAGAGGAGGACTCAGATGCGAACGCTTGCCGACTATAAATCTCAATTCGATCAGTAAGGATTTCAATTACCACTTGACTACTAATAATTCCTTCTTTTTTTCTAATGTATTCCTCTAGTAAATTTATTATTAATACATTTCCATTATATATATATATATATATATATATATATATATATATATATATATATTTACTCTCTTTCAATACATTGCTATAATAAATATACCATAATATTATGCATAAAATAGCTCTGTTCTGTTAATTATTCAGACCTTAATTTGTGACCACAGATAATGCTCTTCTTTTTCGTGTTCAATGTAAATTCTATAATAAAACTATAATTAACCTATTCCCTTCATTTATCATTTCTATAATAAAATCATTTCCAATACATACATATACTAGCTGTAATGTTTCCCTTAATTCATGACCTCTGACAATCCCTTTATCCCTCATTTTCAATACATTTTCAACATCCCTGAACATGAGTTTACATTTTACATAAAATAGATATATTCTCTCAGTAATGATTTCATTAATTACTAACTACTGGCAATCTCTTTATTCGTAATTTTCCATTGAATTTATTAGTAATGCATTGCAATTATACAATTTCTATTCATTCAATCATGACCCTTGAGCATTGAAAATCCCTTTTTGACTTTCTATGCATTTCTATAATAAAACATATTAACAATGTGTTTGCATTGTATATATAATAGTCCTTTGCTGTCGATTATACTTTTCGTAAGCTATAATTAGAAGTATTCACTACTATTTCTCTAGTAGTTTAGTTTTTAAGACCAGGACTGGTTTTAGCTACAAGCAGTACCAACTGCTATTTATAGGGGGTACAGATTTGCATATGAATAAAATAATGCTTGTATTCATTCCTGACCAATGACAATGTTTTCTTCATTATTTATTAAAGAAAAGTCTGGGAAAAGACTACAATACCCGGCCGCTGACGTAAGGACATGACTAATGACTTGATAGCTAATACTCTACGGTACGATTCTGTGGAAAAATGCTTGTAAATATTTTAGTAGGTTTTATTACTACTAAATTGATTCCCGTCATCAAAGAGTGGTTTAATGTTTTAATATGATATGAGTACAACCGAGAGTTTAGTACGTTTTCTTTCCGGTCCTCAAAACCCGGGTTCTAATTTCACCATGCCCAGTTTGTTAGGCAGGGGACGCCTTGATATTATTGTTCTGGGGAGGTGATCCCAAGAATCAGTACCTTTGGAAAGTGCATGAGAACCACGGATTGAACAATGCTTTCTGAGTGAATCTGGATTGAGGGAACTATTCAGAAGCCGCCGATAGTTACAAGTCATCGTGACCGAGCGTTTCACTTTACTGGCCTAGTTTGACCACGCCACAAATGTGTTCCCTCCCAGAAAATGTAAATAAGGTTCGCTAATTACAGATACAGTATAAACACCAGTTGGCTTATCTGAAACACAAATATGCCAGAGAAGCCGTTTGCAATGGAGATCACCTAGCAGAGTAAGCAGGCTGTACGCGAAAACGAATGACCCGCTATTATGATAGGTTTAACACAACCTGAAACCGTAAAGACCATGTACAGTTAGATCAGCAAATTGTGCAAGATGCAAGGAAAGATCCTAACACTGCGATGGAATTTTGTCTTTGAAGTATAAATGGGTATATGTTCCGGAATGCATATTCATCCATTCAAATATTGGGGAAATTCGATGGAAACTGCGAACAAAACATTATCCTTTTGAGAAGAGTTATTATATTTTCTATTAGAGGTACATTCTGTTTTTTTTTTAAACGCCAAAATTGACAATACGAGCAATCAATGTCCATTTCTTCATAACAATCTCGCTCATGTGCATTTTACCTTTGCTTCTAATATCTCAGCGAGCAACAAACCTCAGTTTTCAAACCGCTCTTAAATTATATAATTATATATATATATATATATATATATATATATATATATATATATGTAATATTTAATTTAATGTAATATTTAATTTAATTTAAGATGCAATCGTCAGGCCGATATATATATATATTACAACAAGGAGGCCTGGCAGAATTTCGATAACGACATTTGCGAACTATTGCAACTAGCCAGCCAAGGAAGCGCCCAAAGTCAGTTAAAATATATGACCACAATAATAACCAGCATGGGATCCGAAAGATTTGGCTATGTCGAATCTAAACAGATAGCAAAGCCAAATACCACCACTAACCGAAGAGAAAAGAAAATTAAAGAGCTCAGAAAGGAGCTAAGATCCCTTAAAAAAGCTTCCAGGAAAGCGAACAGTGAGGATCGCCAGCCTCTGGAGGAACTTCGTGCAATACTGAGGGAGAAGCTGAAGAATACCCGACGAGCCGAGTGGCACAGAAGAAAGAGAAAGGAAAGAGCTAGAAAGCGAGCAAGCTTCTTGTCTAACCCATTCGGTTTTGCTAAGAAGTTATTAGGAGAGAATCGGAACGGACAACTAGAGGCATCTGCAGAAGAAATTAATACTTTCCTCAGGGAATCCATGAAAGATCCATTAAAGGAACAAGACCTTTATAAGAACGATAATCTCATAATACATAAACCGACAGAAAGTCTATTTGATTTAAGCATGCCCACTTGGAAAGAAATCCAAGTGGTGAGAGCATCAAGATCTGCTTCAGCACCAGGGCCGAGCGGAGTGCCGTACACAGTCTATAAAAGATGTGGAGGGATTCTCCGGAAATTATGGAAATTAATAAGGATCCTTTGGAGGAAAGGCAAGGTAGTCGAACAATGGAGACGCGCAGAAGGGATATGGATTCCCAAGGAAGAGAAATCCACAACATTGGACCAATTTAGAGTGATATCCCTCTTGAACACTGAAGGTAAGATCTTTTTGGTGTATTATCAAGACGTATTACTAAATACGTATTGGTGAACAATTATATCGATAAATCTGTCCAGAAAGGTGGTATCCCAGGAATGCCAGGATGCCTGGAACACACAGGCGTACTTACGCAGCTGATAAGAGATGCGAGAGAAAAGAAAAACGATCTGACAGTACTGTGGTTAGACCTCGCCAATGCGTATGGTTCCATGCCTCATAAGCTCGTGGAAGAAGCTCTAAAAAGGCATCACGTTCCCTCTTCAATTAGTGGTCTAATTTCAGCCTATTATAACAACTTTCAGCTTAGAGTATTGGAAGGATTAGTATCGGAATGGCACACCCTGGAGAAAGGCATTATCACGGGGTGCACACTGCCCGCAGTACTGTTCTCGCTGGCTATGAATATGCTGGTCAAAGCATCTGAAGTAGAGTGTAGAGGCCCCCTCTCTAAATCAGGAATTCGCCAGCCCCCCATTAGAGCATACATGGACGATCTAACCGTAACATGCACATCCGTAACAGGAGGAAGATGGCTCTTGAAGGGCTTAGAGAAAAACATTACATGGGCCCGAATGACTTTTAAGCCAGCTAAGTCCCGATCATTAGTCATTATATCATTTTAAAATATCCTGTGTTACTATCCCAACCCTAAACGAAAAAACTGTTAAGAGCCTGGGTAAGTTTTTTGACGGGAGTCTAAGAGACACTGTGGCTATTGAACAGACAACTAAAGACCTTACACAGTGGCTCAATAAGATTGATAAATCAGGCTTACCAGGTCGATTTAAAGCCTGGTTATTCCAGCACGCCGTGTTACCCCGAATATTATGGCCACTTTTGAAGTACGAATTCCCAATGACCAGTAATGTTTACTGGCAATGTTATTGCCAGTAAACCCATATGAAACCTCGACCACATATCACATTCGATAGAGACGTGGTAATACTGAAAAATCCTTACTACGCACGTAGGTTTCAAGGCCCAAGGTATTATTTCCTAGGCCTAACCTCTCCTTCATAAGGGCGCTAGGGTCATTACTCGGCGCCTGAGGAGTCCTCAAAAAGGGAAATTTCGAGTGGTCTTCAGCAATTTTTCCTTTGCCCATAGCCCTCATTAAAATTTCGACCTTGTGCCACATTGTGTCGTCTCTCGGATATGTAGCAGGTTTGAATATATGGACGCCTAACGAATAATATTCTACAAAAATTATAAGATAAGGAATCCCCATTTTTTTTACGAATAGAGCAATCTATTTAAGTAGTGGCAATAAGTTTAGAGTTGTTCAACACAAAATCTTGAAACATTCTTAAACAAAAAAAAGACTCCAGATTTAAGTAATATATATATAGTCTATATTAAATAATAAATCATTTGTTTAAAACAACTTGACAAAAAGTTTATATTTTTATTCTTGAATTTTATTTTTTTTAGTTTAGTTATTTTTTTTACCTGACAAATCATTTTCTTCAAAGTGCTTTCCCCACACAAAAGTTTATTTCACTCATCAAAGTCTATTTTTGTTGACTGTTCAATTTATAATTAATTCTTAACGATTTCGTTCTGAAAATAATCTTAACGCGAAAAGTTAGAAAATGTTTTTCACTTAAAATCGAGGTTGGCTTGAAAATCTCTTCTTTCTTCGGAAACTCCACGCCCATAAAAAACCGGTGAGTTCTTTTTGACAAAGAGGAATTAAAGATTGTTTTTTACGCCGTCCAGCATGTTCATTGATGAGATTTGTTTCATTTAAAATTAGATTTTCGATTTAAATAATAAAGTAGAGCTATTACGGATTTTTAAATGTGATCTAAAATTCAAAGACTCACTTTTTCCATCTAGCCTACGCAATAGACTCGCGAATGGTAATGTTTACCGTTTCCTTACGT